CCTGGATTTCCTGGGATCTTATCCAAATGTACCTGAAACTATTAGGAATCTAGCAAAGTACGGACTTAAATACCCCCAACTGGTATAGAACAGAAGGTGTGATGTGGTGTAAAAACAAACAATGAAATGTTTTTGTCAAGCTCGATAAAGGCCCCTTTGTGGGTGTCGAAGTGGTTGCAATGTTTGTTACTGTCCAATAAAGCTGCTTGAATTGATGGAGTGCCTGGGCCAACTACTGATACCTTGAAGACAGAGAAGAGAAGGAAAAGTGCTATATACACAAGGCTCAAATGGTGCCTACTAATACTGTGGTAATAAATTAGTAGAGAGATTTCTCAGAACACTAGACTCAGTACCTCAGCATGTGAAATAAATTAAAATGCCTACTGTTACCATGGGCAGTAAATCGGAATGTCCAAGTTATATAGGATTATGTATCTCGGCATAGAAGGGAAATTCAAAATACTACAATTACCTACAATAACCTTTGCAAGAGAAAAGAAAAGGTACTGCCACTGCCCTGTTCAAAATCTCCCAAAAATATCTCCTTCTAACATATTATCAATTTTCATGGTCAATTGGGAGAGAGTTTCCAGAGTTTGACCTATTTGTACTACCTGCATTTGAGTCTAAATCCATCCAGGGTCAAATACAACTCAGTTACCTCAGCACACAAATATAGTTTGTGTGCCTATATATTCAAAGGCTGTCTAGACCATAGAAATACAACTGTGTACAGTAAAATCTAAGTGCTATCCATATCTGTCCATCTAATATAAAGATAGACAGATAAAGATCCCCCTTGAAGAAGGCTAGATGCCAAAACATTGGGGTTACTATATCTACTGCTCTGGGTTAGCATGCCTATATTATTATTGATTTGTGGGTTTCATTACTGAGCGCTTATCTTTATATCTGATATGTATGTAGGTATATCATTTAATGTTTCCATGCCTATATTGTGGTTTGCACTTTATATGTACAATTTTTTATCAAATCACTGAATAATACAAATCTTTTTATTTGCAAGTTTAATCTGGTGTGCTTTGGGTTATTCTCTATTATGTGCATGGATCTAGTGGGGGAACAGATTTTACCATAAAGCACCCAGCACCCCTTTCACCATACTATCATCGATATTAAGGTTGAGCGCTCACTATATAATTGTATATAATATAAAGAAAAATTCCTGATGTGCATTTCGGTGCATATAATCTATCTAAAAAAAAGGGCATTTATTTGGGGTGTTACAATTTACTTTCACTGATTATGGAATAAATACAACCCAAAACTTGGCAATCTACCAAAATGTAGGAGGCAGGGTATGTGTGAAAAGACTTCCATATGACATGATAAAACTACTTCAAAGCTGGTACCTTGAATAGGAAGGAGTACTCCAAAGTTGCTGCCTGGAATGGTAGGACTAGACACTCTTATAGAGGCGACTTAAAAGTCCAAAAGTGTCAAACTGAAATGTAACTATTTATAAAGATTTTTACAACCAACAATTATTACAATCCGCTGATCCTTCATAACCGGTGAATAACTAGACAAGAACCAATCAATTTGTGCAGTGTCCTTAAAACACCATTACTATATTGTTATTGAAAATGATTCTGCTAAGTAAGGTTAAGGTTAGGTAATGTTAATGGTTGAGGTAAAGGTTTAGGTTAGGTTTTTTAGGGTGAAGGAAGCATTAGGAGCATTTCGGGATAAGGTGCAGGGTGTTAGAATTAGTGGGGGTTTAGAGTTAGCTGAAGATATGGTTAGGGTTGGAGGATTTTTAATCAAGGCGCAAGTGGAATTAGTGCATACCTGCCTTCAAGATGCTTTGAACTGTATATTCAGAATTTTTAGCCAGGTGCATTTTTAACTTGACTTTATTAAGTCAATATTTCTAAAGTGATTTATTTAATTTACCATAATATATTTTAATTTTATTTGTGACATAGTGTATAAACTGATATTATAACTCTAGCTTCTTACTTAATGTTGTGCATCATTATACCAATTGCACAGTTTAGCATAAAATACAGCCCATGACCTTGTTGATGTTCCTTTTTGGATAAACAATAAGCAGTGCTATTATCACTATTTTCTATCTTATGATGAGATTGAATGTGCACACATATTTTTCTTTATTAAGACTAACTTAATTGCTATCATCAATGTCGTATTTTAGTGGATTTTAATTTTATTCTTCATTGATGTTTTTGAAAACCTTTTTGTTTTCATCTTGCAGGAAATAAGCATGTACCTTTTAAAAGCTCTACAATACTGCAGTATTACATTTTGTTGTGAATGCTTTTGGGAAAATTGACTCATTAAAGTGGTTACTTTTCTTCAATGAAGAAGAAATAATTGAAAGAAGAAAATGAGATAATTGAGGTAGCTCTAAATGAAAGTGTCCTTGATTTAAAGTCATTTGGAATCACTCGGCTTACATTAGAGATCCTTTGGTACAATTGGAACACAGTGAAATGGAAAGAAAAATATTCAAGTACAAAAGGTAATTGGAATTATTCACAAGAATGTAGCATTAGAAATGTTGTGCAATATGTGAAAACTGGATACCTTTAAAAAGAAAATTAATTCACTCATTTGTAAGTTAAAACAGAAAAAAATATTGTAATGTAAACAAATCTTTCAGGATTTTCTGGCTAATTAACTAAGATATAAATGAGGATAATTGTCAGGATCCTATCCTGACAACCAATATATTGTTTTATTTTATTCTGTTTTATTACTTCAATACCTGTTTCTACCCTAGCCACTAGACAAACCTTAGTCACTCTCACCTGCATAGCATAATGATTAAATCTGCTATAAAAGGCCACACCTGACTAAACCAAACTACCTTCACAATGAGAGAAGGTATTGTTCTGAACATGACAAGTCTTCTGCTCCTGGGTCAAACAGGGAAACCTGCTTAAATCTAATTTACTTTGAACCATTTTAATCAACTCATCAAACCTGCTTGTTTCCAGTCAGCTCTTCTCAAAGAAGCTTGGTAAAACAAAACCTGATCACCAATATCACCCTGCTTTAATTCTTACTGGACTCTTAATACAAATTTAGCTTATTGCTTTTGTTCTACTGAACATTTAACCGGATCCATTCCTGGATAATGCTGAACATCCACACTTGATTGCCTCTATCCTAAGTATCTTTGCTGCAATACCGGTATCTATAACTGCATTACTGCCTTCAACCAAAGGACTCTGATTTACTAAATGTCTATTTAACCTGATTTCATTATACTTTCATATTCTGTTAATCTCTATTCTATTATATATCGTTTGCTTCTTACCTATTATATCTCTTATAGGTTTTTCCCTTCTTGTTACACCTGTTACCTGATAAACTACATGGGGCATATTCCCTAATTCCTTATGTATCCTGGGGCATATTGCTTTACTCATTATTTCTATAACCACTCCTTCGTCTTTCAACATATAATCCCGTTTGTAGGTTCTCCTTCTTCCTCCTAACCTATTAATTCACTTATAGGTTTTCCTCTTACTTATCTGTTATCCCTTTTATAGGTTCTGCTTTCTCCCTCTGTCTCCATTGTCCTTTTCTCTCTTTATCTTGTTACTCTTATTGTTTCCTTGTCTAAACATGTCAAACATTTAAAATAAAGAAATTCAAGTCAACCTCAGCATAAGTCTCCTCTCTGACCTGCTCAGAAACATGACAGAAATTAAATAAATATGTATTTTTAGATTTGATTGAAAATTTTAACTTTTCAGTTTCTATGAAAACAATTTGGCTATCCCACAAAGAATTAATATAATAACTAAGTAGCAAGATTTCAACAAACAAAAAAATAACAAAATTTATATATATATATATACCAAGAGGAGGCACACTCAAGGATTTGTTAAAAAAATAAGTATTTGCCTGATTATTCAACATAATAGAATCAATGTTTCAGTCTCAGTAAGAGACTTATCATTTTCAATACAAATACTTGAGTGTGCCTCTTCTTGGTAGATGGATGTTTTTTTGCACAAAGGTGTATATATATATATATATATATACTGCGGATGTGTTTGGAGGGGAAAGGAACCGGGAATGTTAGAACTATGAACCAAGGCAAATTGGATGTGATCAAACATGAGTTGACAAGGTTAAACATCGAAATCCTGGGAGTTAGTGAACTCAAATGGACTGGAATGGGAGATTTCACATCAGACAACCATCACATCTTCTACTGTGGTCAAGAATCCCACAGAAGAAATGGAGTAGCCATCATAGTAAATCATTGGGTGGGCAAAGCAGTGCTCAGCTACAACCCAATAAATGACAGAATGATTTCAATTCAAATTGAAGTCAAGCCATTTAACATCACAGTGATACAAGTTTATGCTCCAACCATGGATGTTGAAGAGGCTGAAATTGACCAGTTCTATGAAGATAGAAGATATTCAACACATGATAGATATAACACCAAGAAAAGATTTTACTATCCTATAGGAGACTGGAATGTTAAAGTAGGGAACCAGAAGACACCTGGAATAACTGGAAAGCTTGACCTTGGAGTTCAAAATGAAGCAGGTCAAAGATTAGTAGAATTCTGTCAAGATAATTCTCTGGTCATAGCAAACACCCTCTTCCAACAGCCTCCGAGGCGACTCTACACATGGACATCACCGGTGGACAATATAGAAATCAATTTGACTATACACTTTGCAGCCAAAGATGGAGGAGCTCTATACAGTCAGCAAAAACAAAACCTGGAGCTGACTGTTTGGAATTAAACTGAAGAAAAGAGGGAAAACCATGAGAACAATCAAATACAACATAAATAATATCCCTTGTGAAAATGCAAGGGAAGTAAAGAATAACCCAGGAAAGCCCAGATAAAAAGGAAAGCAAAAGGTAGTGGAGATTGTAAAAAATGTATCCAACTGAATGCAGAATTCCAAAGGATCACAAGAAAAGACAAGGAGACATTCTACAATGAGCAATGTAAAGAGATAGAAGAAGATAACAGAATGGAAAAGTCAAGAGATCTATTCAAGAAAATTGGAGATCGAAAAGTTACCTTTCATGCAAAATTGGGTGTGATAAAAGACAAAAATGGCAGGGACTTAACAGAAGAAGTTCAGATAAAGAAGAGATGGCATGAATACACTGAAGATCTATACAGGAAGGATTTTAACAGCATTGATGACCTCAATAGTTGGTCCAATGAGCTGGAACCAGAAATCTTTGAGAGCGAAGTGAGATTGGCCCTAGGATGCCTTGCAGATAACAAAGCTGCAGGAGTTGATGAAATCCCAATTGAACTAATCAAAATTCTGCAACTGATGCGTTGAGATTTCTGCTTGCCTTATGCCAAGAAATTTGGAAAACTCAACAGTTGCCACAAGACTGGAAAAGGTCAGTCTACATCCTAATCCCAAATAAAGGTAATGCCAAAGAGTGCTACAATTATCGAATAATTGCACTAATTTCACATGCCAGCAAGGAAATGCTTAAGATCCTACAAGCTCCACTCAGACAATATATGGACCGTGATTTACCAGATGTACAAACTGGGTTCTGCAGAGGACAAGGCACAAAAGATTAATTTGCCTATGTACAATGGATAATAGAGAAAGCCAGAGAGTTCCAGAAAAAACATCTACTTCTGCTTCATAAACTATTCTAAAGCCTTTGACTTTATGGCTCACAACAATCAGTTAGTCTGTCCATCTCGATGGCAGTAAGTGTACACGATGATATTACCAAACAAAGACATATCTAGATAATTAAAAGAACATACAATTATTGCATATCTAATATACATATGTTTAATAGTCTTGCAGGGACTACCACTTAATTTGTGTTGTGCCTGTATCATAAGCATATCATAATCAAAAGCAATTGTAAAGTTTGATTTTTGAACTAAATTAACAATATTACCACTTGTCCTTGGTGTACAATAAAAGGCTAGCACAGGCAAAACAAACAAATTTATTTTGAGTTCAGTTGATTGTCCCCCAGATAGAAACATAGAAACATAGAATGTGATGGCAGATAAGAACCATTCGGGCCATCTAGTCTGCCCAATTTTCTAAATACTTTCATTAGTCCCTGGCCTTATCATATAGTTAGGATAGCCTTATGCCTATCCCACGCATGCTTAAACTCCTTTACTGTGTTAACCTCTAAAACTTCAGCTGGAAGGCTATTCCATGCATCCACTACCCTCTCAGTAAAGTAATACTTCATGATATTATTTTTAAACCTTTGTCCCTCTAATTTAAGACTACGTACTCTTGTTGTGGTAGTTTTTCTTCTTTTAAAGTGGCAATATTATGGCAGAATCCCGTTTTTTTTAAAACCCCTCCCGCTTCCACTACCTCTAATTGACCCCCTAGTCACTCCCAAATACCACTAAGCCCCACATATTACCTGTTTTTTAATCTTTATTTTCTGCCCCGATCTATATTCAGGGCGCCACCATCTTTGTGTGTGTAGATGAAGTCCCTGTGGGACACGTCATCTGCCCACACTAGACTGACAGACTGTGAGACACTTGGACATGCGAACGGGAATTTCATCTATTCATTCATTCATCAGAAAGACGAATGAATGATTAGAAATGTCAGACGAACAAACAAACACCGAATATCAGTGTTCGTTTGTTCGTTCAGTTTATTACAAGGAGGGAGCTACACAGCTCCCTCCTTGTAATATGTAACTATAGAAGCGGCAGGGAGCAATGCTCCTCGCCACTTCATAAGCCCCCCAAGTCCCCCCCTCACTCTATGGGGGTCAATATGACCCCCATAATAGCATAAGTGAGATTAATATCTCCCCAATGCCCCTACTCGCTATACCGCGAGTAGGGGCATGTCCACTAACTAGTGAGCAGCCTGTGGCTCCTCACTGTTTAAAAAAAACCCTACTAAATAACAATAAGGAGGGGGGGATCTACTGTCCTCCCCCCCTGGCCCCCACCCTTGAGTGGTGGATGGGGGCCCTATATAAGAATGGTGGGGACCTACTGTCCCCCCCGAAAGGTGGGTGGGGGCCCTAAAAAACCATAAGGTGGGACCTACTGCCCAGCCCTCACCCCTGAGCAGTGGGTGGGGGCCCTAAAAAACAATAAGGGGGAACATGCTATCCTCCCCCCTGGTCCCAACACCTGAGCAGTGGGAGGGGGCCCTAAAAAACAATAAGGGGGACCTACTGTCCTCCCCCCTGGCCCCCACCCCTGAGCGGTGGGTGGGGGCACTAAAAAACAATAGGGGGGGACCTACTGTCCCCCCTTTACCCCACCCCTGAGCGGCGGGAGGGGGCCCTAAATTAAAATTCCTCCCCAATCAAGGTGACTAGGGGTCCCAAGCCCTTAGTCACCCCCCACCCAAATAAAACTATCCCCTAACTACCCCCCTCACCCTAAAAATAGTGAGGGGGGAATAAAATAACTAACCTGTAAACAAAAATTAAACTTACCAATTGACGTCTTCTTTTTTCTAAAATCTTCACTATTCAGCCCCAAAAGAAGCTAAATAAAAAGCCATCATACCCGTCGAACTTAAAATAAAATAGAAAACACTATGCTGCCGAAAAAGAAAAAAAACAGACGCTAAAAAAATGAATCCATCTTCACCCATGGAGGGCTCTGCGCAGACTGAGCTATGCAGGGTGGGGGAAGGCTTATAAAGCCTTCCCCCGTCCTGCAATTAGGCTAAGAACACTGATTGGTTGGTTTAAGCCAATCAGAGTGCTCTTTGTCATTTTACACAGCTTGGGAAAATTCCAAAGAACTTTACATAGCGTGGGAAAATTCCAAAGAACTTTCCCACGCTGTGTAAAATGACACAGAGCACTGTGATTGGATGGATTTCAAGCCACCCAATCAGAGTGCTCTGTGTCATTTTACATAGCGTGGAAAGAACTTTCCCATGCTGTGTAAAATGACACAGAGCACTCTGATTGGGTGGCTTGAAATCCATCCAATCCCACTGCTCTGTGTCATTTTACACAGCGTGGGAAAGTTCTTTGGAATTTTCCCACGCTATGTAAAATGACACAGAGCACTGCGATTGAATGGATTTCAAGCCACCCATTCAGAGTGTTCTGTGTCATTTTACATAGCGTGGGAAAGTTATTTTTCCATGCTGTGTAAATTGACAAAGAGCACTCTGATTGGCTTAACACAACCAATCAGAGTGTTCTTAGCCTAATTGCAGGGAGGGGAAAGGCTTTATAAGCCTTGCCCCACCCTGCAGAGCTCAGTCTGCGCGGAGCCCTCCATGGGTGAAGATGGATTAATTTTTTTTAGCGTCAGGTTTTTCGTCTGAATTTTTTTTTTGCAGGTTTTTTATTTTATTTTAAGTTCGACGGGTATGATGGCTTTTTGTTTGGCCTTTTTTGGGGCTGAAAAATTAAGATTTTAGAAAAAAGAAGATGTCAAATGGTAAGATTAATTTTTGTTTACAGGTTGGTTATTTTATTCCCCCCTCACTATTTTTAGGGTGAGGGGGTGTAATGGTATTTATTAATTAATGACTTTTTGTCATAAAAAAAAGCATAATGAGCTTAATGCTTTAGACGCACCACTAGATGTCAGTAAAGCATATTTAGTGTAATGCTTTGGGGGCACCACTAGGGGGAGTGTGTAGGAAGACCTGTGCTTCTGGCAGTGACATCACAGGCCAGCCTACTTACACTGAATAAAAACCAGATGTTAGGAGAAGCAAGCTCTCTGTTTTTGCCTGTACCTGACTGATCATGTAGCACCAGCTCTGACTTAACCCCAGCCAAAGGGCTGGGGCCTTGTAAGTAAAATGTTGAATAACAGCTAGCAACTGTTATAGCCTTTTGTAAGTAATGTTGTAGTTTTGTATTGTGTAATTATTGTGGTAAATTGACATTCTGCTAGCATTTGTTTAATTGTTATTATAACTATATTAAATATACATTTAATACTACAATGTTTTGTGTATTTCCTATTATATATTCAACCATAATACCGAACTCTATTAATGTTGTTATTTGTTGCTTAATTATTATATATTAATTATTAAATTAATATTCATATTTAAGTCACGACTGTAACACTTGGCGACGAAGATGGGATTATGCTGGAATATTAGGGAAAATACAAAAGTTATGCATTTTGTTTAATACATAGTCAATTGTCTGTCTGTATACAAATGAATAAATTAATGATGATTTGGTTTTAATGGAATGAATGCAGATAGCAAATAGGGATTAGATATTTGTTTTTAATGTATCTCTTGCTGTAGAACATAGTGATGAATTATTGTGTTGCTTGTTACCAATCCTTGGTCATTTGTATATAGGAGAAAACTTATATATACTTTACCTTTTGTCTGACCATGTGGATTTTAATCCACCATTGACCACATGGTGTGAATGAGTTGAGGCCTAGTTTCATTGTTTGCTACCATTTGCATAGGAAAAGACTTTTCACTAAACTAGTTCACCAGGTTTTATTGCTAAATTTGACCCTGTTTGTGTACTGATTTACATTTGTTTGGCATTCATGGATTTGTCTAGTAAATTAGTAGTTAAGAAAAAGATACGTTTAGTAAAGCAGATGCAGTGAATAATAGATTTATGTGTGCGTATACACAGAATATTAGTATAAATATATATATGATTTTGACTCATGAAGGAGAGACCACCTTTTTAACAGCTGTGTGACCATGCTTTTCAGCTACAGCTGGGGAGAATTTGTCCTTGTTGGGGGTGGGTAGTCTTGCCTGTATGAGAAAAAATAAACTGCATTGTTTTGTAAATGTAATTGCCTAAACTAATCAATTTGTGGAGTGTTTTTCAGCTTTATTATCCAGGACTAAGGAATTACTGGACATATGCAGGAACTGGTAACAAATGAACTGAAAACATGGTAAAATAATTCCTTTGTCCTATTTAGTCTGAATATTTTAACAAGTTAGCATTTTTAACAAAGTAAGTGTAGGGGCTCAGATTAAGATTTATATTATTTTAGAGGCCATCTATAACTGATTTTAATATTTCCATGCTTTGAATTAGGGTGTATCTGCCTAGCGGGTGAACCTCCATAACGTGGGCTGTGATTTTAGTTACAGTAGCAGGTGGGGAACCTGAGCTAGGGGGGAAACCATCAAACAAAGATTTCTCAGTATGTACCATTGGGTAATAAATATAAAAGAAACAAATTAAAACCAATGTGGCTTAGTAGAGAAGTAAAACAAGAGATTAAAAATAAGAAAAGGGCATTTAAATCAGACAAATCCAAAGTATCCTATTTAAGATATAAGGAAGCCAATAACACTTGCAAAAAGGCAATTCAAGTGGCTAAACTAGAAAATGA